AAAACGGATATGCCGTCCGCGTGTGTGTGTATGTGTATGGGTGGTTGCGAGTGTTGGTGTATATCAGCATCGCAAAAAATATGTAAATAATGAAAATAAAAACACGAAAGCCGCAAAGTGTAAAGTGTGTAAGTTGAAAGCACCATAAAACTTAACGAGCTGCAAAAGAAGAAGAAGAGAAATTCATCAGTGCCAAGTAGGCGAGAACTTTAAATGTTGAAACATTATAACACATTAAAAAAAAACCAAAAAATAATAAAATTAATAAACTAAATAAATTAGGTGGCTGAAACATGTTAATGCATAATTATTGTGCACTAAATGTATGTTCGCTGTGCTTAAATGTCAAGAAGGTGAATACTAAAAGTGTTAAGAGAATATCAGAAGGAAAGAGATTTTTAATGGATTTTTAAATAATTTTTTTTTTTTGTTTTAATGCATTATGGTCCATGTGAGCACATTTTTTGAGCAAACTAAATAATTCGTAAAATTTTTCCATCGGTTTTTTTTTTACATACTTCAAGTAGCTTGAGAAGTTTATTTCGAAAATGGTTAAAGTTAGCGTTTCGCCGATCCTCCATATAACAATAATGGGTGATTCAAGTAGTTTTTTGAAAAATCACTCAATCAGTGATCATCTATCTTGAGATGCAGCATTCATTATTCCATAATATTCAAGCGAAAAGACCACACCCAGCACCCAGAATGTAGAAAATATAACGGCCGTAGCTGAGAGTGTGCACGAAGACCGTGTCGATTCTGTGCCGTTCGAAGCAACTCGGACTGACGAAATTTGGCTTATGCAAGAACTGAAGCCGCTCAACCTTCCCAACAAGCCGACTTCGCTTCGCTCTATGGGCTCTTGAAAAGTTCCAAGAACATCCGACGTTTTCGAGCCAAATTTCGTACAGCGATGAGTCCCATTTCTGGCTCGTTGGGCGTTACAAAAATTGTCGCATTTGTGACGAAAAAAAAACCTGAAGATATTTAAGAGCTGCCAGTTCATACACACAAAACAGCGGCTTGGTGTTGTTTGTGTACCGTTGAAATCATCGGATCATATTTTTTAAAAAAGTAATGCACACCGACAACCGACTGAAATTGAAGCCCTTGATCTCGATGAAATTCGGTTTCAACAAGACAGCGCCATGCATCACTCAATAAACATAGTGAGAAAACACTTCCGAGACCAAATAATTTCACGTTTTCGGCCGGTCAATTGGCCACCAGGATCATGTGATATCACGTCGTTAGACTTTTTCCTGTAGGGATATGGAAATTCTAAAGTCTATGCGGAAAATCCTGTTTCCATACAGGCCTTAGAGCAAAATACCACGCCTGTCATTTGCCAGTTACCAGTCGAAATACTCGACAGACTCATAAAAAATTATTCTCAACGAAACGTAGCCGCAACCAACTTTTAACAGAGATAATCTTCGAAAAACGAATGCTAAATGTTCTTTCGAATATTACAAAAAATCCAAATTGAATTTGAATTTTTGGGTTTTCTTCCTTAAAATGAGTAGGAAAGTTTGTTATTGATCAGCCATAGTAATTTTTTTTTTGGATTCAAATATATTATGTATATTTTGTCGTTTTCAATACATTTTGCACTAGAAATGTGTGCAGGACAGTCTTTGAAAAAATGTAACAAGTGGCACTTTACGATAGATGAAAGCAAAATTTATATGCATTCTAAACCTTAATGGTAGGTATTATGAATTAAGTTGAAATAAAAATTAAAAATTGATGATTTAAAAACTCAAACTCCTCAAAATGTGATACTTGAAGTCACTCACATTTGAAGCAGGATTATATCACTTGAAACATGCAGCATATTTCAAGGTAAGCTTGGATGGACTCACATCATCTTTTTCGCAATTATACAGCATTAGAGCCAACACCATTCAATTTATCAGGAAATATTCGTGAGCACATAATACATACCGCTGATCTTCTCACATATACAGGATGTACATATACAGGATGTACAAAAATTAAAGAAAGATCGAAAGTTGCCACCACTAATGTTGACAATGATAAAAACCAAAAAATAAAGAGCTGACAATTTGGGTTTAGTAAAAAGAAAGCGTTACACGGTAGAACAATATTTCAAAAATAATAACAGCTTGGAGGCCGCAGTTAGTAAATTTCCTACAAAATATGGTCGGATGTTATATTAGCTTCTGTTAAGGGATTAATTCATATATTCTGGGAGACAGGACCCTTTGGAGACGCCAAGCATATTGGTCGTCCAAAAACAGAAAATGTTCTTAACAAAAATTATCCCAGGAAATGTAGGTTAAAAAAATATGCCAATATCAATATTTTTATGTTGTGTTTACAATAATTTCTTTTCTTATGATACGTGCATAACAATCAGCATCTTATACTATGCTCTCTGCTATCTGAGATCAGTACGAAAATAATTACTGAAACAGTTTATAAGGAACACAAGTTGTTGAGCGATTTCGCTTGATTTATTAAAGGTGAGGTCAATATCGTTTGTTAATTTATATTTCTTGACTTGTAATCACTCACTTACTTATTTACTTATCCACTTACTTACTTGTTTTCTTTCCAATTTTATTGTTGTTGTTCTTATTGAATTAAGTATGATTTTTGCAAAATTTTAAGTTATGTTAGGACGAATTTTTTGTTTCTGATGTTTTATACTTCTTCTCTCAGATCTGTTATCAGAAGTGCTTCCCAATGCATATATTAATTCTTTTACTAAGTATTTAAAATTTAGTTAGTAAAATAATGCATTTTCCAAAAATTTTCATTCAATTGGAAACACGTGATTTTATTGAAAAATTCAGTTAAATTCTTAATTTTAATGGAATTCCTTTGCTCCTTTTTTCTGTAATTCCAATATATTTTTGTGTATCCTTCATGGACTAAAAATGTTACATTAACTTTGGTGTGAAGTATTTAAGTACCAGAAGCAGAAGAGATGGATCCGTGCTAATCGGATTAGATCTAGCCAAGTTAATTTAGAAATGTCTATTTGAAGACGCCCCTAGAAACCATTTTTATTAAAGTTATGACGACTTCGGCATCGTCAAAGACAACACATCCTTCTTGGCTTAATTTGAATTTGCCTCTTTTTGACTTATTCGTGCTATCATTTGGATATCAGCTTTTGGACTCTGTGCAGCTTGTTCTGCCTGCCAATTGTTTGCTTCATCTTTCGCCCTCGCGTCGTTTGCCGCCAGCTCGTTTTGTGTGTTGATTCGTGTGCCTTTGGAACGTGCAGTGACTGCTGTGTTGCTCTGTTTACCGCATCCGTTTAATTCGTTTGTGGTTCGGATATAATGAAAGAGCTTTTGGGATTAAAAGCGGAAGAGAGAAAAAGACAGGAGCAAAATGCGAAATAAAACCAATAAAGGAAAAATCGAAAATATTTTTTTTTTTTATAGGGATTGAGTTTCGAAGATTAATTAGTATTGTCGACGTGTATTTTTTAAGGTGTCGACAGACGCAGCAATTTCCTCGCAATATATATTTCCCTAAAGCATTTTCCTGCACAGTAAGGAACGGTCCCTACGCCATTATGTCTGAATCGGTACATACCGTTAAGCAACACCAACCCTGTCAGGATCGGGAAGGATCTCAAAGACAAATGATTCCTTATATTGTGACTACTTTAAGTAATTGCTGGAGAAAATAATATGAGCTGCAGAACTAAATGAGCAAGAATGTCCAACTACTGTTAGGACAGCCTGCTTCACTGGGTGCGGACCAGAGGGAAAGGGGGTTTAATAAGTTGGTTTTAGGAAACATGCAAAGAGTTGCTAGTGTTCTGAGGGATTCACTGCATGTCAGGGTCAAGTCTTAATTTACTACAACATCCATTTTGAGCTCTTCGTTTGCAATAGATGGTGGTTTGACTACGGGAACGCCATTTATTGGAAGAGAGTTCATGAGGGGAGTTGAATGAGTTGGTTTTAGGAGGCATGTAAAGAGATGGTTAGTGTTGTGAGCGACTCATCAAATGCGGGATGGTATGTCGGTGTCAAGTATGGATAGGTAGGAGGTTAGTCTATCTACAATATCCAGCTTGAGCTCTACTTTTCTCATAGATGGTAGTTGAGCCTGTTAGTCCGGCCACCGTTTAATTCAGTAGGTAACAGGAACATAACTACAGGTGTATATCGATGACATTGATATCATACGCCTTGATAACTGCACCGTAAATAATTTCATTTATCTAAGATCCAGCTTAATACCAATAATAACGCCAGCCTTGAAATCAAACGCAGAATCACTCTTGCCAACAGGTGCTACTTTAAGTCTTCTCTCGATTCTTAAAACCAAACTCAACAAATCACTCATCATTGCTGTCTTATTATAGAGTGCGAAGGCATGGACTTGATCATCGTTCAACTGATAAGTCGACCTTAGGAGTTTTCGAGTGAAAGGTTTTACGTACGATTTATGGTCCTCTATGAGTTTGTAATGAAATATACGGCAACATTAACATAGTTCAGCGAATCAAGAAACAGCGGCTGGGCTGGCTAAGTCATGTGGTCCGGATGGATAAGTATACTCCAGCTTTGAAAGTTTTAAATGCAGCCCTCGCCTGTGGAAGCAGAGGAAGAGGAAGACCTCTACTTCTTTGGAAATATCTGGTTGAGGAAGGAAAAGAAGAAATGAATGGTCTGTTTGTTGATCATTTTTAATAAAAGAGCTCTTTTTTTTAAATCACTTTTTATATGAAGGAAGTCCCCAGTTTCCTATTTAATGGTTGGGCAACGAAAATTTTTCTTTTAAAACTTGCTGTAACAACAAGAACAATAGACATTTCTTTCCCTGGATGGTTGGCACAATAACACGAATAGACGAGAAGCAATATTGCCGGCTGAAGACTCATCATTTTCGCCGTTAGTTTTCACAACAGATTTGAACACATTTATTTATGTTGGTATTTTTTTCTATTTTAGAAATATTTTTAAGTCAATGAATTGATTTCAACATGTTTTTCATTTTCGTTTCAGGCACTTACTTTCTGTTGTACGATTTTATTGACTATTTTGATAAGGATGAGGCGACCTCGTTGCCGCGTGATAAATATTTGGAAATTATGAACAATATTTTTGGCAAAGTAACACAAGCGGAACGCGAGGCCATCATTTTTCGGGTAAGTAAATTGCTTTAATTTATGTATTTAAGTATGTATTGCAAAAAAAGTCATAACATAAAGACAAAAGTTATTCGCGAATGGTGTATACATATATGTTTGTATTAAATGTTTGGTTTTCAATAAGGCAATCCTTTTTTCGGAGTTGTTTACTTTAACAGCTCTTCATTAATTTATGTCCAGTTAAGTTAGGCATTTCCAGAGTGAACAGACTTATACCGGAACAACGTTTGAAAATCGTCCAAATTTATTGCCAAAATTATTGTTCGGTTCGCGCGACGCATCGCAGTGCAACCATTTATTCATTTCAAATCACGTTTGCTCTAGTGGATAATTTGCATCGTCAGAGTTGCCATACTGTGCGCACCGAAGACATTGCTGCTGTGGAGCAGACAATAGGAGCTGGCCCAGCTCCAAAAATTTCATGGAAAATTTTACGGAAGGATAGACTCATGCATTAATTTTTCGTACCTGAGTTGGAAGATGTTGATGTGGACGACCTTTCGTTACAACAAGAGACCACTATAAGCTTACAGACAATGAATCAATCAATTTATTGAAGGAAACTTTTTATGCGCTCCTTATATTGCGTCGTGCTCCCATGGCGTGGCTTTAAAGTTCTTACGATTTATTACTACTGCGGGGTTTTTACGGGGTTATGCGAAGTCGTTTTTCTACGCGCGGAAAGCCTACTTTTGTAATAAAGTTGTTTTTCTGGCAACAACAATAAGTTACATACATTTTGTTTTCCTTGAAAACCACATGTATACGATATTTGTTATCACCTATGTAAGATAATATGAAAAGATTTGTCCTGAATGACTGACACATCAATCCATAGCCTAAATATTTGCTCGTAGAAAAATTAAACTTGGAAATTGACCTGTGACCGAATTGATGGCTTGGTTTTGTTTATTATGTGAAACATATGAGTATATGAGCCAAGAGTAGTTTCTCTCTAGATGTAAACCAGAGATTGATCTGTTGCGAAAAATTGTATTCATAGTTCAATTTGCTTGATTTCTGGAACATATGTCAACCTATATCTTCTGCAAGCCATCGTTTCCCTATCTGCTTTGTATGTGGTTGTCTTACACGAAATTTTTTTCTCAAAAACTAATGGCGCCTGCTCATCAGGCTGCAGAACGGCAATAATGAGGGTAGAATTGAGATCCTCCTCGTTTGTCGTTTCAATCCTACACAATTCAAAGTTTTCAGACTCATGAGCTTCGCTTCCTGATCAATATGAGCAATAAATGAGAAAATTCAAACGATAAAGAGTCACCCTATCTGAAACTTCGTTGCGATATTGAGAGAGATTTTTGCTTAAAACTCTTTTCATGGGCCTTTTTAATATTTGAAGCATGCCATATTGATAAGAACCAATCAGTTATTTCACTGCCATTCAACAGGTTTGAGAAATGTCCTAATCGTAAATTTCTCAGATCCTAGATCACCTCTATTGGACCAAAACTATTTTAATTTTTTTGAACGTTAACAATTTTTTCCTGAAAATAGATTTTGGGGGAAAATTGTTTGCTGATCTTTCAAATTTCTTAGAAATTGGCGAGAAATATAGATCTTGCACACTCGAGATCTGTTTTTTTTTGTACCCGATATCCTTTGGGCTTGAAAGTCTTTTATATTGGGGATGACGGTGAACGAAATAGTACTCCTACTCAACGGAGGAGAAGTAAAAGTTGTGTCATATGAAGCTCTATTGATAAACAGCGCTCAGCGAGGCTGTGGAGAGTGCCTTGCATACACGAGCAACTAATTAGTTTTTAGTTTTAGTAAGACGGAGCTTAGGCTATTCTCTGCTAAAACCAATATATGGAGCCTTGGCTAGTATGGCCTACATTGCAGAAACAGTACAATAAAAAGAAATTAAATAGAATATGAAGACCAGCGCGTGGGCGATTTATAAGTCAACTAAGTAAAAAGGCTTGTTGGATCTCGAAATAATATAGGGGAGAGGGGGAATATATATAGATTTGAATGGAAAAAAGGTTTGTTGGACCGATAAGTTCAAAAATTCAATATTTTGCGTCCATTAAATTCAGTTAGCATCTTTCAAACAAAAGTGATCTAATGAAAAACTACTGCAGCATACAGACGGTAGCTTTATACTCGGATAGCCAGACGCAGTGCTGGTCGTCGTCAAAGATAAATTCATTTGTAGTCAATAATTCTAAAGGTTTCAAGCCCGTCAGCTCCAAATCTATGTTTTCTCCTGTGACGAAAAATCTAACGAGAATCAGAGTTAGTTTTGACAAACAGCACCGAAGAAAAGTAATGAAAAGGGTTTGGCCAAAGTATGGCATGACTAGATTAGGTCTAGGAAAAGTATAAGTAGACTTAACCTACAATTACGCCTCCAAGAGCAGGTTGCAGCAACAGATTTCTCAGTTTAATCACATCCATACTTAGCATATGGTGTTCTGTTGATCAACACTCAAATGTTAATTTTACAAACAATAACAACAGATAATAGTATTCTACCATAGATGGTCAACAAACCCAACGATATCATTTTAATTCGCTAACAAGAAAAATTAACTCAATGAAATGAACTCGTCTCGGTTCGGCGCCATGTAATCAAAACGCAATGATATTATTAATGTTGAAACCAGGATGAGTTTCTTTAATGCTAATTTTAAAATAGCAATTTGCAGTGGTTTAATAGCAAACTTCAATTTTAACGTTTAATATTATCTGTTAATGATTTAGCATTTACGATAGCATTTTATTTCGGGAATAAACGAAAAGAAATTTATTTTGATAATATCTTTACCGATATTATTTCCAAATGTTTCAACCGAAACGATAGAAATTTTTTGAATAACGTGAAATTTATCATGTAATTTACACATAATGAATAATACACCACCTCTTGTTGCTCTTTTAAGTTAACATACAAATGATTGCGTCTATCAAACTTAACTTTTAATACAAAGTGTGATCTATTGTGATTGAGTACTGTTCTTTCTAAAAAGTTTAACAGATTTTCTCTTAGACAACCAGCCATAGTTGGTGGTTGAACATATTTTTCTGTTAATCCACAATAATATACTGTTCGTCCAAGAGAAATTTCTGTTAATGTTCTACAGAAACGAAATGCTGAAGAAAACTAAAAAACATTATCATTCAAATTAACAGATTAGTGATTTATTTGACAGTGATTTCCGGCAATATCCAACAGGAATGGTCTGCTAAAATAACAGATAATTTTAACAGGTCAGTTGGTGAAACAACAAGGAATTCCGTTAGTTTGGCCCACGATTTAACGATTATTCGAATTAGCAGTGCGATCTGTTTGTGTAAGAATTTTTATATCTCTCGATTTAGGGAACATTAAATGGTTTGGAAAATAACAATAACGCCATAATGTATAAAAATGGCGCACCCAACGCTAATTGGGCCTCAGGCTTTAAACCCATCGGATAGCACTACTACTTGCCTACCTACCAACTTGAACTATGCTTTTGCAGCTTTTATATAAAATCACTTCGTTAGAACTTTACGCTGCGCCATAACTTTTTTGAAATTATCGTATTTTCTGAGCTTCTATCTCGCTTAGGCTTTATTAAGCATAATCACCTTATACTGATTTTCACATATTTCTCCCGCACAAGCATCTAATGTAATATACAGTCGATGAGTTGAAAATTCATATTGCGTATTATAAATCCTTTTTTATCTGCATTTAGCTGCAAATATGTTACATAGACGTAAGTGTACTTGTCTGCATGTACATACATATGTGTATAAACCGCTAGACAATCACGCAATCAGAGCAGAAAATCTGAGCAATCAGATAATCGATGCCAATGGCAACTTGACTGTAATTGGAAAGCAACATGCAGCGCATTCGACAAGCATACACACATACACACAGATGTGTGTTCTTGAAAATTTAAAATCCGCAGATATGTATGGATGTATGCACTGTTGATGCATCATTCAACTCGATTACAGTTGCTATGCCAATTAACGGAACTATCAGTGCTATTCATTGAATGCGCAAAGAGATAAAATTGCAATTAAAGATGCTTATGAATGCCAATTTTAAAAGCTGATCTTTATTAAATTTCGCTTTGCCAATTGCCATTGATGTCGAAGGGAAAAAATAAATAAACTCATAAATGAATTTCAAATTGTTGATGAATTAAAAGAGAAATTGAGAAGGGACCTTCTAATAACAATTGATAATTTTAGTGTTTGAAACTGTTTTTAGCCCGAAAAAAAAACAAATTTCTCACGTGGTTTTGAAAGTAAGTTACAACTTAAAATTAATTTCAAAAATTCCACTCATTGCGGATTTATTATTTAAACACAGCTTTTGGCGAATTTTCCAACAATTTTTTTTTTCTGCAGAGCCGATTAAAACAAGGTGGCTTTGCGCAACCATCGAAGCGAAGCCGATGAAGAAATTGAGTTTCGTTGTGGCGTAAACAGAAATTCGAAATTCCGCAATCGGTCGATGCGTTTGACGGCACACAGCAGAAAGTGAAGCACGGTTCGACGCATTGGTTTGTGCGCTGGTGTTTTAAAATCGTATTTTCCTTTCTCTGTCAGAATATACGACATCTACGGGATGCTCTTGATCACTTGGTCATTTATGTTCGACTAATGAAAAGCCAAGAGAAAATGGGAACATTAGGCGGCCGTGTTTGCATGTTGAACACACTGAGGTGCAGTTTGTTGGAATGCATATAATACATATATACATATGGTTGTAATTAGCACTTTCTAACCGCTGAAGCGATTTTCGGCCCTATAATTTATTCTAAGCCTCTTCCGGATTGCTGATGGGTTTTTATGAGTAACCTTTATTTCATGTCAGATATACATTCGGAGGCCGTTGTTCTGTTGATAAACGCCTTTAATATTCGATTTTGGGTCAAGTGAGGGGTGAAAGGTATAGAGTACCTAATATTGTAAAGGCACAAGTGTAGTTTCTGCTCCATAGCGCTTATATTCTATTCCGGTTGACATGT